ATAAATAAAAAATTAAAAAATTAAAGAGGACTACTTCCCTTTTTTTTTTTTTTTTTTTTTTTGGTATATCTGTCGATCTATTATGCGTGAGACATGTCAGAAAGTACGATGAACGAGATCTAGGCTAGGTTCCGCAAAGTTTCGGCTTTTACAAACTGCGATCTTGACAAAAAACATTTGCGAAATGGAGTAAAGATGCGATTTTCAGAAAAGAACGAAATCCAGTTTCTGAGAATATGCAACCTCCGAATATGCCTAACGCAATATTGGTAGGCTTCGCAAGATTTCGGTTTTCAAAAAAAAATTTGCGAGATAGAATGGAAATTCGATTTTCACAAAAGAATAATTTCAGTTTCCGAGAATATGACCATTTCTATCGTTATCCCAAAATGCCTAGAGAACGAAATACTAACTTCAGAAATTTCAGCTATGTATGCGAAATATCAGAGAAACGAATTGCAACTATCGGGAATTTTCAGACAAAACGAAATGCGATTTATCAGAAATTTTCAGATATTTTCTACGTAAACACGAAATACCAATATCAGAAATTTTCAGGTAAAACGGAATGCGAATATCAGAAAACGAAATGCAACTATCGGGAATTTTCAGACAAAACGAAATGTGATTTATCAGAAATTTTCAGATATTTGTTACGTAAAAACGAACTACTAATATCACAAATTTTCGGATAGAACGAAATGCGAATATCAGAAATTTTCAGATAGTTGTTGCGAGAAAAAAAATTCAGAGATTTGACTAAGTCCTACTTGCGTTACTAATGAGTGATCATTAGATCGCAAGCTGGCTACTTGATTGAGCGGGTCCTCTGAATGAGAGGTCCGCTCCGATACCAAACTGTTGCATACTGTAACGTGCAGACCAGAACAAGAACCGACCTTTCAATACAAAGTATAAGATAGCTCCGATACCAAACTGTTGCATACTGTAACGTGCAGACCAGAACAAGAACCGACCTTTCAATACAAAGTACAGGATAACACAGCGGAAGACTTAGATACCAGTGATCCGAACAATCAATGTTGTAATGCAGCCCTGAACATACATCATCATCATGGTGTGAATGGGTCTGGCGCTTCACACAAGAAGACAG